TTTGCATCCCTCTTTGGACATCCTTAATGGAGTACATCTATCATTCCTACATGTCTGCAAAGCCTGAGCATGATGAATATCAGTTCCTGGGCTCTGCTGTTCTACAGCTAATATGTACATAAAAATATAACTCTTATATTAGAGGAATAGTAGTTTTATTTCTGACTACGTACCTGCAGTCACAAGCATTGCTTGCTTTGTGGAGCAATAAATTTAATACATTAGCTAGTCTGTTTTTTTTTTTTAATTATTTATTTGTAGATGATTTCAATTTAAAATGAGATTTTCAGGTAACAAGGTAGGCAAACATGTTTAACAATGCCATGATATAAATTGCTGTAGGTGATAGATCCCTACAAAAATTATAACAGGCAGATTCGCTATGCAAAAAATTATTTATATGACAGCAATCAGAAAGACAAATTACTCAGAGACTATGTACATGCTCCTCCATAATTGCTCATAAATTATTATGGTTCATGTTAAAATGCATCTAGACTCCCTAGACAGTGAGATTTATTTAAAATAAGAGCAATGGGAAATTACCAAGAAATGTTGAGGAAGAAGATGCAGTACACACTTTGGGTGATTGCTGACATGAAAATATAGTAACGTACTGTCAGACAACTTACTGTCTAATTTCCTTAATAATTTTGAAACCTTCCTTTTCAGTTCACTGTCTCCTCAGGTTGCTTTAGCCTGGATAGATAACTGGGATGGGCTCAGTGGGGCTCCGCTGTGATTTACTGCTCTGTGTTTCCCAGCCCCTGGGGGACACACTGGGACTCTCTCCTGCACCCGTGCAGGGCTCTCGTGTACCTGAGCACTTTCATGTTCTACACAATAATGTGGAATTTAGTCACTTGGGGAGAAGTTATGCTAAGGTAGTGAGGACACTGATTGATGGGCAAACCTCTTTTCCTTAGGTACCTGGGCTAAAAATGGGACAGTTTTTTTCCATATTCTCTCAGTGTTCCAAATTAAAAAATAAAAAATAAAAAAAATTATTGTAAGCATCTAAAGTACACCCAGGATATACAGGATTTAATATGAATTGGCTTTCAGTCTGGAACTTACCAGGTGATTATGGGGTAGCAGAAAAATAGTGTCTATACATTTATTATGTAGTAAGTTCCTCTCTCTAATGCCATTATTTTTCTCTTCTTATCACCCTGATTATATTACATATTGAGAGCCAGCCCCCAAAAAAATGACAGCAAACTTTGTTCTGGATAATGGAGTGCTAAACTCCACCTAGGCAACTCCAGTCATTTGTAATGACAGCTTGGAGAATACTCCAAACGAACCTAACAATGCTCACGCTCCAGTGACTGACAGCACGGCAAGAGGAAAAATTCCAGCTTCCATGTGAGTGCAGGGAGCCTGACCTAGATTTTAGCCTCTACAGCTTCATAAGAGGAAACATTCTTGACTGTGTGTTTAACAAGAAAAAAAAAAAAAAAGGGTGAGGGGAAAAAGTCATCTCCTGTTTGATTAGTCTTTCTTCGATAATTAAGATTTAGTCAAGGCGGTCTGTGAGACTTCTCCCCTCCGCAGATGTCATCAACCCCATAATGAATGGTTGCTCCGTTCCCTGTGTGCTGTCCTCTGTAATTACCACCTCCTGACATGCTGCAGGGAGGGAGCTCTTGCAGGGGAGCAGCGGGGGCAGGCAGGGGCGATGGGCAGGCACAGCCTCCTGCACCTTCCCCTCTGCTGGGCTCCCTGTGTTGGGGTCAGCCTCGCTTGGGCTGCTGAAATTCTTCCATTTGGATGCTGTTAATGGGAAAAGGGTCTCCTCTGTAAATTTCCTTTTCTTTCATTTCTTCTTTGAGATGCTGGTGCTGTGCTGGGCTCAAGTCACTGTGCCCAGTGCCCACTGGATCCCTGGCCATGGCCAATGGAGCACCAGCACCACTGCCTTGTTCTCTGATGGGGGCACTTAGAGATAGGTTTTAGCTACTCTAGTGACCTGCTTATAAATAATCTTTCAAATGCCTTTCATGTATTCCACTTTAACAACTCAAATTTTGAAAATAAAACAGTAGAGAAGGGCACACTAGAAGGGAGAAGAATTTTTTAAATCGAAGTGGAAGATGAGGCAGATTGAATGACACTGAAGGATGATTTGAGCTGTGCTTCGACAAGTTGTTTGGTGTGGATGTGGGAGAAATTTTACTGGAATCAGAGGCATTTTCAGCTTCCAAAACTAGATTTCCATATTGGGTCAGTACCTAACTCCTAATTGTGACTCTGCTCTGTGAAATAAATGAAAAACTGGTGCCATTCTGCTTGACCCCCAAGCTTTCCATGTGTGTCTGAATGTCAGCCATTCTTTGCTGTGGTTTAACTTTGCTGAACCAGCACAGGTTTGAAAGCATTAGATGATGTGACAGGCTTTGATTGACACAAGATTGACAGGATTAATTAGTCTGGATCTGAATTCCAGTTCTGGGCACCCCTATTCATTTCAGCTTATGTCCCTACTTAGACTTTTGTGCCTTTGCTAAAGTGCAGGAGGAAGGATGCCTTTGAGAATATCTGTGTGTCCTGGAGAACAAGAGATGAGCCATCTGGAGGGCTCAGCGTTGCCTTCACATCCCTCATTGAGATAAGGTGACTGTCAGCTCTGCACTGCTCTTTAATTGTAAATCACACCAGCCTAAAGAGCAGGGCTTATAAAAAGCACAGAGCTTTTGTGAGGAAGCTCTGTATGAGGTACAATGATACCTGCTTGATGTAAAAGACTTCAGTCCATTCTATAAAATAATTCATGGTGTCAGAACCAGGCTTTAGCATAAAAGTGGATTGGACGGGGTTGTAGGACTGGGAGAACCAGCTCTGCTGCTGGTTGCCCATGTCTAACAATGATGCAGAGAGAGCCCAGTGTGGTGTTTTCTGTGGTCTTGACAAGGGCGTGTTCAAATTACAATGTGCAGCTTTGGTCACAGTGAAGGATGTTATAAACCCGGAGGGGATGTACTGAGAGCAAATACTTCTGTGCAGGATTTTCAATTAATTATTATCCAAACTTGTCCTGTTTTGTGTGGCACTAAGTGTGTGAGAGAGAACACAGAGAAAGCAGCGAGGAAAAGTAAAGTTGGTAAATTGCTGATGGCCTTTCAGTTGATGTCATTAACAGCAGCTGTTAAAAGCAAGAAACAATGAATTTTAATTTAAATCAGCGGGATCAAAATGAGAATGGAAATGAAAATTGAAGTTAACCAAAACTGTGTGTACATAACTTCAGGTGAAGGGTTTGGTTTGGGGACTTTCCTTGATGAAGAAAGAAGTCAGCTGGCACAAGCAGCTGCTCTGTTTGCACCTGCCTGCAGAGTAGGGCAGGAGCAGGTAAAACCTTCTGGGTAGAGGTGTTGTAAGACCTCCCTTTGCCTGCCAATACCCTCTTGACAGTAGGTACATAAATAACATAGGTTTGAACATTTGTTTTCCTTCCTCACCTGAGCTTATGCTAGTTTGGGGTTTTTTTACGAATAAAGTTTATTTTGCAATGAGATGTTACATGGAAGTTATGTATCAGAAAAGTATGAAAGTGGTCGGTGTCAACAGGTTTAAAATATGGTTCAGGTGCATGGCCCATGTGATCCCAGTACAGTTAAAGCTGATTTATGGCGATGGGAAAATTAAAACCTTCCATTTATCACGGATACTTTTGAACGATTGAAGAGAAGCCTGAAAAGATGTCAGACATAATTTAAAGGCCATAAAAACCGCTGAAAAAAGAGACTAGACCTGATATTCCACCACGTGTGGAAATTTTGGTTTGCTGCATTTTTTTAGGAAGTAAATTAAAAAATCATGGGAAGACTGAATGCTATTGAAGATGTATATAAACTGAAGAGTGTATAAGGATATCCAGCATTTATAGTTCGAGCGTTAATATTGTAAATGCAGAAGGGGCAAATTGAGCATTACTTGGTTGAATTTGAAGTAGCTGCATGAAGGGTAAAGATGTTCCACTTACTTGTAGCTGAATATGATCTATAAATGCTGAAAACTACATATTGAATCAAGTCTATTAATTTTAGGTAATGTGTTTGCCTATTGATGATCTGCTTTTGAATTATTTTTCTTTGGTTATATTCTTGGTTGACTTTCAAACTTACAATTTTCCCAGCAATTAGAAGGATTGAACTAGAAGGTCTCTGTTAATTGAGGGGGGAGTTACACATGGATACATATTCGTGTTCTAGGATTGTATTGTAGCTAAGACAATAATAAAGGGGGAAGAAATTGTAGGGAGAAGTAATCTTTTAACTGGCTGACATATGTTAATTTTACAAGTGAAATATTAAGAAAACAGTTTCAAAAGTTTTTGCTGAACAGAACATCAAAAGATCTCTTTTCTTGTTTGTACAACTGCTGTATTAATCTTGATTGCACAGGCAGCACGTAGTAATTGTATCCTGGTGTATGTAATGCACATCTCTGCAGTGTGAGTAGGCTGTAGAAAAGAAAAAAGTTCTGTGGAACTGCCTCGAAAAGAAAATGATAAATGTCACATCTGTTATTTTGGGGGGGGGGGGGGGGGGGGGGGGAGATTGCATAACGTAATCAGCAGAGGTGGATGGAAAAGTTTTAAGGGATAAGATTGACATCAGATGCCAATGTACATTTTCCTCCAACAAGGAAATCAAGATTTCAAGACTGGCTTACAGAGGCAAGTAGTTAAGGTGAAGCATTTAGTTTATTTAATAAAAAATTAGTGTTTTGGGGATGAAAGTAATGATATTCTAAAGAAGCGGAATTGAGCAGCAGGCTCAGTGTGTTCTATTTATTGCCTGCAAATTCACGGTTACATGTGATGGAAAAAGGCTTATGAAACCCTAATTGCCAATAGTTGCTTTACGTGTTTTGTATTGCCGTAAAACAAAGGTTCTTTGCTTTTAATGTATTGCATTGTATTTCTCAAGTGTCCTTTCATTATACTGAAAAATATCTCTGTGTCTAATATTTCTTTATTATTGTTTTGCTTTCAGTTGATGGTTGCATTGACTGGTCAGTGGATCTCAAGACATACATGGCTTTGGCAGGTGAACCAGTCCGAGTGAAATGTGCCCTTTTCTACAGCTATATCAGAACTAATTATAGCATGGCCCAAAGCACAGGTCTTAGGCTTATGTGGTACAAAAACAAAGGAGATTTAGAAGAACCCATTATATTTTCCGAAGTTAGGATGAGCAAGGATGAAGATTCCATATGGTTTCACTCAGTTGAGTTGCAAGACAGTGGTTTCTACACGTGTGTTCTAAGGTGGGTATTGTGTTAAAGTCTAAGTAAGAATGTATGGATTGTCTTGGTTAAAAACATATTTAATTTTAGCTATCAGGATCGAGATATTCATCCAGCTAATATATAATTCTTTTTTATTCTCATAATTATATATGTCACATAATGCTTTGTCTCAGAATTAATTTCCTATGTAATTATAGTTACCTTGTCCAATAGCTGTAATTAATGTGCTTTCACTTAATTACTTTTTTTTTTTAGTCCAACATTCATAAATTCTCAATTTACCATAAACCTTCAGAACTTGATACTTCTTAAATCATAAAGTATTTTGGTTAAGTAATGTTCTGTTTCAAATCCTCTGAGTTATTTGAGAGTTACAGTTTGAATTATTCTGATGGGGTTAGGCCATGGGGAGTTGCAGTTCTGTCTGGTTTTGAAGAAATGTGTATTTTAATATAGAGTTATGATTTGTCATAAATTTAAGCAGACCTCGTTTGGTAAGGCACCAAAATGCATGTCTCAGAAGTATTTTGGAACTGTTGGATGAGCCTTAAATTAAACATGTGCCGGAGCTCGTGATTTCCATCATGTGGATGTTGATGTCAGCTCTATGCCTAAAATGAGAAGATAAAAAAGGGAGAATTCTTTAAGAATGAATGAATAAATATTCCTTAAATGATCCAGTTCTGAATTAAAAGGAGTTTGCAGATACTTTATATAATTTGGTTTAAAACTGTTTAGTTTCAGAGAATGAAGCTTGCTTCATCATTCTCTGCTGTTCCACACCAAAATTAGACATGTTTGACGAATTTAATATCAAATATTGCAGCAAAATAACAGCACTGCTCAGAACCCAGGATTTGCTCTCTCTTCATCTCTACTGAGTTTCTGCCTTGTCTGAGCTGCCTCAGACCATTCTGACCCTGAGGAACGCTGCTGAAATCAAAGATTGTGCCGTGGGGCCTGGTGGTTCTACTGGGCACAGTGTCCCGTTTAAATATCAGATGCATTTGCCAAACTTACCAGTAAGTCTGTGTTGCAACTTTTGGAGTTATTCTTTTATTAGCTGCCCTGTCACAGGTTGGGTGTATGTCAGCTCCTTGATTTTGAAATGTTACAGTAAGATGGTGATTTACATATTTCAAGGGAGCTGTCCCTTTTTTATAAGAAGTCACTGTTGTGATAATCAAGTTACTAGTTTAATACTCTGAAAATTTTTAATACAAATCCTTTGTGAACAATGAAGAATTGATCTTGGATCAAATTCTGGGATATACTTTTTTCCGGGAAATTTCAAAACTCTGCTCATTTACATGACAAAGTAGTTTTGGTAATGATTGGGCAAGTTCTTGAATAATTCATGGCTTCTCCTCATTGTCAGCTAAAAACTATATGACATGCTTCTTGGAAGGCATTATACAGCAACAAGATCTTCCTTGTCAGTTATGCAGTTTCCCTGCTTTGACTAGAACTTTCCTATATAATTACAGATATTTTTGCCTTTTTCAGATTTATGTCAGAGTGCAGAATATTATGTGTGGTGGTTACAGATAAAAGACTATATTTTTTTCTTTGCTGAATTAATTTTTCTTCCAAAAACTGGGTAAGGTATCCTTGCTGTTACTGTTTATGAAACCCTAGGTTGCTTAAAATAGCTGAGGAAATAGCAATAGTAATTGATTTTAATTTCATTAAAATAGAGCTAGATGTAATGTTCTGAAATGATGATCACACTTTTGTGGGAGACTATCCACACCATTAACTGTGTAATTTCAGCCTTATTAATCCATTTTTTGGAGGGGGATAAGCAGATGTTTGCGTTTTAGTCATTAACCAGGATCACCTGCTTTATGAGAATTAAGAGGTCACAAATGAGAGCAGTAATTTTAGAATATTATTTCATTTTCTAGAAGCATTAACAATTTCAGTTACAAATGCTGTCTTTTGTAGACTGAGTGGACAGAGATGGGTAGATAGAACTTGATGCAGTGGAAATGTGTCCATCAGTGTGCAACACTGGGTTTTTCTCAAGAAAGAAGTTTTCATTTAGGTTCTGTAAGAGAAAATCAGGATCAATTCAATTCCAAATTGATGTCCTTCTAGCTACTCTCCAAGGATGGGTGAAGCCCTGGTACAATCCCCTGTGCTGTCCAAAGTGTTAAATCCCACATTTACATGTCCCAGTGGCCAGGCTGTGCTGAATTCCACCACTTCAAGTCCCTTGCCTTAGAACTGCTCTGTTTGTTGTTTGTACTTGTCTTTGCAAAACTGTGCAAAGTGAGATGCTTGGATGTGGTGCTAAGACTGAGGGGAGACAAGGGATCCTTGTCCCAGAAGCAGTTTGTGGCTTTAAAGAAAGGGTAGAGTCTGGAGCTGTGAAGATCTCTTATAAAAGGGACTTGAACACCAAGGCTTTTCAGTGAGTTATACATAAAGGATATCACAGCAATAGTGAGAGCTTTGCTAATTCACTCTCCCCCAATTTGTTACTTTTTTCCCAGTCAACACAACGTGACAGATAAAAAAACTGTATGGGGAAAATGTCAACTGCACTTTTCACTGAATTTCTTATTGTTGAATGTCTTCAAAATTCTATAAAAAAGACCAAACTTGTTTTCCAAGAACCTGCATTATCTGGTTGCTCACGTGTGCTTATAGGATCAAGGCATGAATATCAGTGAAGCAATTGGAAGGAAATTTTTAGAAGTCACTTGAAAAGGGTGGGTATGAGCAGGTGAAGGATAGGCTGATATGACAGTGATTTGGAGAAGGGTAAAAATTAAATGTGTCAGTAAATTCTTTCTTATACAGAATTGTCATTTCAATAATCATAATGTCTGTTTTGTAAAATAACCTGTAATACTGAATAAAATTAAGGAGTATTAGAGCAGCCATAATAAGAGGTTGCTTCTCCAGGCTGAAAAGGTCTGATATCATAATTTAAATGTTACCTCTCCTTTATTAACCAATTAGCCATTGTTGCACAGACAGGTGTGGGGGTGTGTGTATAGTAGGAGGAAGTTATTGTTGCATTAAAACCTACTTCTCCCTTCTCACAATACAGTTTAGCATTGAGCTGACACTCAAATGCAAACCAAAGTGTGATATTTGTCTCCAGTGTTAAGCATAGATGTAACAATTTAAGGGGTCCTGATTCTGCAAGGACTTCCTTGCAAGGAATCTGCTTTGTTCTTGGGTGCCTTTTCTGTGTAAAATCAGAGATATTACTACTACATCAAAAAGGGATCCTAACTAATGGATAAATGTGTTTTTCATTGCATCATTTGTATCATGACATTACTGCCCAGTAGGGAAATGCTGTGTTCTGGAGGTCTCTTTGCAGTACAGGCCCTGGATATACCATTAATCTTCCAGCACCCAGCAACGCTACTTTCAGATAAAGCTGTCAGCATTTCTGTTTCTGAGGTTTGATGTTCTGGGATGTTCACATCAGCACTTCACTGAAGGATTCAGAGATGAGAACTCTAAAACTAAACATGGAAACTCAACCAGATCTAAATGGGTGGCCCTACAGTTCCGAGGATGTAGGACAGTCATTTATTTGTCAGATCATGTGCTACTTTTTCTCTCTGAACAAATACATCTGTTTTTCTGTGTTAAAAGCCTGTTTTTTAAAGAGGGAACAAAAACTGGGACGGCTTAAATCTTCTTAACCTGGTAAAAGAAGAGAAGAGAAGATGGGGAAGAAATCTCAGCAACTTTGGCCCAAATTTGCCCTCATCACGTGACTGCTCCTGGAAGCCTTTCTTCTAACTAGTCCCAGCTCCAAGAGAAACTCTAATGAGCATTTAAAGAATAAAACCACTAGGAGTAAAAATATTAGTGCATATTTGCGGTTAATTAACTGTTGGTGAAATAAAATAACTTGATTCCCATAATGTGAATCAGGAGGGTAGAAAGTCTGGGCCTTCAGTGAGTGCAGGAAAGCAGGAGGTGGAGGTTTGTGGTCACCAGACTGGCTGATGGAGCTACAGGGTGCAGAATAAAAAGGGAGCGAGGGCCTCGAATGCCTATGAGGGAATAAGCTTGCAGATCTTTAATTCCAGCATTTGATGCCAGAGAACTGCCGACAAATCAAGTTAGGAAATCTGGGTATCCCTTTTCCTTTACTGCGTCTCTGTCTGCACAGTTCTTAATGGAGAGCAGCATTGCTGTGGACATGCACAGAAGAATTGAGCCTTTGCTGAAGCACTGGTGAAATATTGAGATATTACTTTCTGAGCAGTGATAAAATAGACCAATAGATTTCAGAAGCCTTCCAGCTTCTGAATGTCTGTGGAGTACATGAGCACCAACTCAAAATCAGATTTAGACAGCCTGGAGGGGCTGGCAGTAAAACTTCATCTGTGGCACAACCTCTGTGCTCTCACTTCAAGAGGGTGTTAGGGTGAGCTGAGGGGCTTGTTTCAAGTGCCTACAACCTGGATTGCAGAATGCACCCAGAAAAAGCTGCACCACTTTTCTAAGTGCTGAAGGTCTGGCTTCCAAACAGGAACGAAAGAAGAGGTGGTTTTGGATCCCAACAAACACCAAACAAGAACGTTGGACTAAATATTGATGTGAAAATCTGCAGGGGTAAGGTTACTTTCTCTGCAGCCATCTCTCACGGTTTTTGCAGTATGTGTTTTAATACAGCTGTTAATGTTGTCGGTGGCAATAGAGACTGTTTCATTTTCAGTTGCTTTGGCTTCATTCAGTGCTCACCCGCCCACGACAAAGGTGATTTTGTATCTCAGATCCCTTCAGAGGCAGTGTTGTAATTCCAGTGGTCCCAGGCATGTCTGCAGAAGCAGCTACATTTCACATCTGGAGCAACTGCATTCAGCACAGGCTTCCCAGGCTCTGTATGGCACTAACATTAAATGTCACACATTAAAAGTGTGTGACATTTGCCACAATAAAATTGACTGATTCTGTAAAAACAAAATCCCTGTGAGATATAGTATTCAATACTTTAATTCAGTGCTAGATCAGATACATTATAGTCAGTATGATTCATG